TTCTGTGTAAAAGATGGGCATGGTGACACAGGCCTGTAATCTCAGCACTTAGGGAGGCTGGGGTGGGAGGGTCACAAGTTCAGGCCCAGCCTAGACAATTTAGGGAGACCCTGTCTCAAAAAGTAAGAAAAGAACTGAGGATGTAGATCAGTGCTAGAGCACCCCGTGTGCAATCCTCCAGTACCAATGAATAAATATCCTGTGTAAGTCCTAGTACAACAACATAAAGCATTTGACAAAACCCCAGAATTATTCTTCACTTCTAGTATCTCACATTATATAATTATGCCTAAGATATTTACAAGTTAAATAACATTTTATATATATATTACATTCTTTTCTTTTCCTCAAGCTGCTGAACACCAGCTAACACTACGAAAGTTAACATGACCCTCCTTAATCTTTTTCATGATCACCATTCACTGAGCCATCTTCATCTCTTTGCAATAATTAGCCAGCAAGGGAAGATACTCAATCCTCATCATTTCCATTTAACTTTGTTGCTGTTGTTTTTAGAGGGGTAACCAAAGATAATTACATACAAATGAGTTTGATTTTTTTTCCTCCCAAGCAATGCTTTGTAACCACTGGGAGAGTTAGATAAAGTCACTTAAGACCGAGAGTCAGAAAACCCTTACAATCGAGGAGCTGCTTAAGCTCACTGTTCTAAAAAGACACTTGACTATGACAGAAATAGAGCTTATGATTTTACCATTACTGAAGTTTCACAGCACTTAAAATCTTCCATAAAATATGCCAAGTGTGGTGGCACATGCCTGTAATCCCAGCACTCAACAGGCTGAAACAGGAAGATTACTGTGAGTTCAAGGCCAGCCTGAACTACATAGCAAGACCCTGTCTCCCTGCCCCGCCAAAAAAAAGCAAAAACTTCTATAAAACACACAACCTTAGAAGACAGAGGTTTAAGACCTAGTGGCACAGTGCCTGCCTAGCAAGCATGAGGCCCCGAGTTCAACTCCTGGTACCAAAAAAAGAGACAGATGTTTACTTCAGGCTGAGTGGGCCTAATAATCATACAACACTTGTTTAGCACTAGAAAAACAAACAAATGAACAACAAAAAAATTCAGCGTAGTGGTTCAGACAAGTACTAAACACATAATGACTCAACTATTTAGTTCTACACATGCAGCTTTCAAATAATCACTGTATTAATCTGTGACAGACTCCTTTACTAAACTTCATGTCCAAACAGCTATACAAGAAAAGTATTCTTCAAAAAAAAAAAAAAGAAAAAGAAAAAGAAAAAGAAAAAGAAAAAAGAAAAGAAAAGAAAAGAAAAGTATTCCTCTTCATGTACTGGAGATTGCTCTTTATTTACTTGGTCCACCTGGGGGATAGCGTACTTTTTTTATGGGAAGGTTTTCTGTTACAATGAAGTACCACCTTAAGAGTCTGTGAGTATCCAGTAATAAAAGCAACCTGGTGGTCCAACAAGAAAAACAAGGACTTTGTCCCAGTCTTTCCAAAGAGGGGAAAATTCACTTACAAAATTTATCTTGTTGATACAAAAACCACTAACCACTAATTTAGAGTAGCATATTATAGCTCTTAAAAGTAAATAAAGAGTAAAAATGATACACTAACAAGCATTTGCCCTTTTGTTTTGAAAAGGTAATTAATTTTTACTCTGGTAGATTTATTTTTGGGTGAGCCAGACAAAAACTTCCTACTAAAAGAGACCCTCCTTAGAGGAAAATGATAGTAAGATTGTTTTGATGCATCTTGACTTTCTAATAATCAGGAATGACAACTATTTAGCTTCAAAACTGTGGAAAGATCATACAGAGATGCTTCCTTGCTGGAGACTGAACAGACAGATGTATATTCATAAAAGTACTAACTTCCTCTGCAGTCCAAAGCATCTTTCAGAAAGGCTATCTATTCAAATCATGTTCTGGAATGCTCCTAGTCACTATTTCCTGTCCCAGTAAATAAGAGCACTGGACCCAAAGTAAAAAGACTTCTATTCATTCGGTTTTACACACATCTCACAGTAGTCCTGTGCTTCGGTTCTGTTCCGTTAAGTGCCAGAAGTAACTTCTACCTACCTACTCCTTTAAGATCCAAGAATTTAAAAAACAAAACAAAAACAACACATAAACACCTTCCTGCTTCTCAGATATCGCTGCTGTAAAACTCAAGGTGCTTCACTATTATTATTATCATCTTCACCACTTTGTATCAAGTTTTACTGCTACTTCTGAATTAGGCCATGATACTAGCTTCAAAACACAAATCTTGTGATCTTCTATTTGTGGTTAACTTTCTTGATATAATTCAGTCCTGATAACTTGTCCCTCGAATTCCAAAGATCTATTCTTCTGATCCCAGGGCTGGAAAATAAGTCTTTTATTTAGTCCCTTTTTTTCCCCCCAAAGAAATGGGCAGAAGTCACACCCCTCCAGCTTCATATAGACATATTAGGAATGAGATCATTCTTTTTACTTAAGAAATGATGCCATATAGCATGCACACATAAAGGCGGCACTGCGTTCTAATCTTTCCTTCGCACAACACAGTAACTGTGGGGGTGGTTATGCAGAAAATCCGAAGGTTTTTGACAACAGATTTGGATCCATGACTGTCATAAAAATATCTGATCGAAGGCACACAGAGGGAAAACTTCACCTAGTTTGCAAGAAATAACTCGCCTCCCCTCCAGCTACTACTGGGTTTGGTGTGAGCTTTTTTTTTGCCCCCCGGGCCTGTGCTGTGTCTTTGAGGAAAAGTCCCCTGGCCCCAACACACGTCCCGAGCAGCTCTGGAACCGGATCTCGACTCTCCGGAGCATCGAGTGCACCCAGCCCTGCAGCTCTCGACTCAGACACACCCCCCTCCACCCCGCGTTTCGCAGGAGGTGTGGGCGCTCAACTCCTTCTTCTAGGACAGGGGGGACATGCCGGGAGGCGGGCCGAGGCCAGGGCTCCCATTTTGGAGGACAGGGGCGCTCGGCTTTCCGGGGGGCGCGATCTGAGCGTGGGAGCAGAGGGCGCACAGGACAGGGGCGCGGGAGGCCAGAGGGGGCCCTCGCGCACTCGGGAGGCGTGAGGAGGAGGGCGGCGGGAAAGACTCTGAGAGCGAGGCTCGGCAGAGCGAAGTCCTTTTTGTTATCTGTGCGGGGCCAGCGGGGTGACGGGGAGTACCCCTCAGGACAGGCAGCCGGGAGCCCCCCACGCTTCCCGCTGTGGGGGGGGGCGAGGACTCGGCCGAGGCCCCCGCCAACAGGCCGAACGCCACAGCCACGCGCCAATCCTGCTCCCCCGGCGCCGGTGCTGGGCGCTGGGCCTGGTGGGAGGGGATGGAGGAGGCCCCCGGCCCAGGAGGCGGGAAAGGCCCCGGAGCCGCGGGACGGAGGGCGGCTCGCAAGCTCCGAGTGGCGGGCGAAGCGGCCAGGCGCGCCCTTGCCCCCGGGGGCCAGGCGCCCCCCCCGCCCCTCCCGCCCCTCCCCACTCCGCCCCTCCCCACTCTCCGAGGCCGCCCCCTCCCCCGCGGCTCCTCTCACCTGCACATGATCCGCCATTTTGCTCCATTCATGCTCCTCTCCGGCCCCCCCTCCCCCCCAGCGCGCACCTCGGCCGGGGCCGCCGCCGCCGCCGCTGCCGCCGCCGTCGCGCGTACGCCTGCGCGTTGGGGGCTCGTCATGCTACGCTCGCAGCGTAATGCCGACCGGCTGCGCAGGCTCCAGCGGGCCAGTCGTGGTTGGAGAATGCGCAGCGCCGCTGGGACGGCGCAGAGGCGCGGGCGACGTCAGCGGCCCGGAGACGCCGGGGGAGGAAGGAGCTGGCTGGGGGAGCGCGAGGGCGGGGAGCTTGGGGGAACAAAGCTTTGTTTACATGGGTTTTAAAGGCGCCGTGCTCGCTCAGGCGGGCGGCGGCCGCTGGCGTGGGACCCAGCCCTACCTTCGGCTGCTGTGTGTGGTGAGAGCTGCTGGATGGTAGCCGGGGTCGTCCCTGCCCGGAACCCCTGTCCCCGGGGCATTGCTCTGTGGCCACGTGTCTTCCCCTTGCCTGCCCCGGACGCCTTCACTCCCACCCCCTCTCGCACCCCGGGTGACACCACCCGAGAGAGGTGTGATTCCCACCCAGGATACCTGCACTGTTTCTTCCTTTCCAAGGCACTGTTGTTAACAGGGTCAAGTTTAGGTTTGTGTCTTGTTTAGCCGTCTGCTCCGGTAGACCAGGGCCATTGCTCTCAAATCTGGGTTTCAACCCCAATAGCGATCTCCTTGCTTTCATTTCTATCCTTTGTAAACAGTCATGGACGTACAGTGTCTGCCAAATGGTGATAATCAAAACCTACAGAGGGCACTGTGTTAGTTTTCTGAAAGTGATTATTATCTTAACCAGTTCTCTAGGTGCTTCCTGAGTGGGGCAGACTCCTTCATAAGAGGTGATGGTGGTGGTGGTCAGGACCTCGGGGCTCAATGTGAGTGGGAAAGTCAGCGCCCTGGTTCGATGAGGTCATTCCCTGCACGCTGAGGCCAGCTTTTCCCAGTAGGAACTGTTTTCCATAATGAGAGTTCTTGTTTTCCGTTGGAGTCTACGCTGCCTTCCTTTCAAGGTCCCTAGATTATAGCAGGATTTGGGGGGCACCGGTTATTCGGAACTTGTATTTATTGGGGCCCACCATCTCCACGCGATGCACATGGTGGGGTAATGGGTATAGTGGACTAGGGTTCAGCAATCATTTCAACCTCAGTCCTAGTGTGTCTGTCTTCCTGGTTCGCAAAGGTAGGACACCTAAAAACTACATTACCCAGAAGTCTCTGGGGCTAGGGTTCTGTATGCAGGTTGGTTCAAGCAATGAGACTGACTCGGGATTTAGGGAGCAGAAGTGAGGCAGAAGTTTTGACTCTTCCTTCTGTAGAGCCTAGCCCTGGTCACATCTGTGAGTGTGGGTTTTCAGCAAACTTCCGGTGTCCAATCATTAGCTCTGTGAGTGTAAAGGGGCGGGGGGGGCGGGGGGTCAGGGGCTTCCTGACTGTTACACTGCAGTGGTATGTTGGAGTTCCAGTTGCATGGCTGTTTTGGGATACCCTGCTTGATTGATTGGAGAATACAGCTCCAGAGTGCTGGGAGTACACGTCTGTGCCACCACCCCCAGCCAGGAGTTACTTTGATTCTTCAGTCTCTTTAGTCCCCACATCCAATCCACTTGCAAGTCCTGTTGAGAATCTACATCTGATGTATACCCCGAACTGGCACCTTCTCTTTAGCTCCATTCCTAACACCTTGGTCCAAGCCACCATTGTATTTCTCCTTAGCACTGGTATTTCTCCTTGACTAGTTTCCCCACTCCCTGTCTTGTTCCTTGTCAATCAGTTCTCCAGCTGCAGAAGTAAAACCATCATACAATAATTTATCACCTCATTTAAAATCCTTAAGTGGCTTCCCATTGCATTTAGAATCCAAATCCTTGCAGAAGCTCAAGATCTGACTTATCCTCTACTATGCCTCCTCTGGTCATTCTAACCTTCTTGCAGATTACATTGTAGGCCCTTTCTCTTAGAAGGGTTCCAGAACTAGCCGTTCCATCCCTTTTTTTTTATAGTATTGGGAATTGAACTTAGGCCCTTTGCCATGAACTATTTCCCCATCCCTTTTTATTTTTTATCTTGAGACAGTGTCTCACTAAGTTGCCCAGGCTGGGCTGAATTTGCAATCCCCCTGCCTCAGCCTCCCAGAGTGCTGGAATTACAAGTGTGTGTCACCATGCCTGGGAGGGTTCTCTCTTCTCAGTAGTGCCCCTTATCCATGGGGATATATTCCAAGGTCCTCACTGGATGCCTAAAATTGCAGACAGTACCAATGCTTTCCCTATATGTACTTATGATAAAGGTTAATTTATAAAGTAGGCACAGTAAGAGATTAACAATGGGTAATAATAAAATGACTATACTAATATACAATAATAAAAGTTACTTGTAAGTTGTTTATTTCTGTAATTTTCCACTTGATATTTTGGACCATGGTTTCTGAAACCTAGGATAAGTAATATACTTAATGGAAAAAGGGCAGGGGCTAGGAATGCAACCCCTAAACTATTGTCCTTCCCCCCACAGTCAGGAGCCACTAGGGGAGTGGAAGGCAGGGATGAGATCTTTTGGAATCCTTGTTCATTCGCTTCTTTGCCGAGTCTTTCATCCTTCTCAGGCCCACGTTTCTCTGGCCACTCTACCTGCTTTGCTGTATGTGCAAGAGCTGCCCGATGGGTGGCTGCCTCTACCTATCACAGCATCAGTGGGGCCACCTAACACCTCAGCACGCTCAAGAGTCAGATGGAGTCTCCTTTGCTCCTTCCTTGGTGGCCCCCAAAGAAAGCCTCACAAACCCTTTTGTGTTAAAGGTTTGGTTGATAATCACTGGGTGAGAATATTAAAAAGTTTTGAAGTTCTTGAAGCTGTAGTCACTCCTACGTCCTGCTGAGAGAAAGCATTGTAAAGGAAGGGATCCCAGTGGCTTGTTGAGGCACAGGTGGGGCTTTGTGTACCCCTTCCTCTCCAAGGAAAGCAAACAGCAGCCAAGGGCCACTCCTGTACCCCTGTAAACCACTGGGATCCTTTCCTCCATGATGCTTTTTCTTCCTCGGGTCCCTGATTCTCTGGGTGCGATGTCTGTGCCCCTGCTCACAGAACTCCCTTGAGGTTATGCAGAATTCCCTAGGTTTGGGATTCCACTTCTGAATCCCTTCAAGTCCTGCTAGGTGAAGCAGAGCCTGACAGATGGTGGGTTGCTCTTGGTACTTCCTGCTGAGTATCTTCTGCAGACAATGACTATAGGAGGATTGCCCAGCTTCTACAGGGCAAAGATGGGCAGGGAGTGTCTGGATTACCTGGGCCCACGGCCCCAGGTTTAGTTTCCAAGAACTCTAATAGGCTTGGGCACCCTCCTGTGGTTCTGCCTGGGGAGGGAGAGCAGAGTGATGGAGAAACCACTCCTCTGGCCTTGTTCCTTGGAGCATGGTCTGGCCTGCACACAGGTGGGCAGCAGCTCAGGGTCCCTCCAGACCCTGAGTATCAGAGTTTGCACTGGTTTTGTATTTTGTTTTTACGCAGGGCCTTCACATCCCACACACCATTTCCACATCCTAGTGCTTCTTCCCAAGATGCATTTTCCCATGTCAACATTTATGATTCTCCTCTGGGCTTTGGATGAGCCTGAAGCAGGGTGACTCAGTCCTCAGAGCCATCCACTTCTCTTTCCGGGCTGTTTTGGCCCAGCACTCGGCACACAGAGCAGAAGGGTGGAGTTGTGCACAACTCTGCTGGCCTCACCAGGGCAACAGAACCCCTGTGGTGGAGGAAATGGGCCCAGTTACATGAGCACCCTTGATGAGATTGACCCCAGGAGTGTTGCCCTAATTCTTAGATTCCCCCAGCAGTTCTGCCCTGTACCTCTATCTGGATTGCTTCTTCAAGCCATCTGGCTCTGAGGTGGATTTCTGCCAGGAGCTTGGCTTTCCCCAAAGCAGTGTACCTTCTTGCATGGAGTCCGGACTCTACTTCAGGCGAACATTATCGAAACATTGCATTAGATCTCAGGAGCCCTGGGCTTTACTTCCTTCTCTCTTGCACACACCCCCCCCCCCCCCCCCCCCTGCCAGCTGTGTGACCTCAGGCAAGTTGCAAGCAGGTGTGTTCATGCCTGACCTGCCTTTTGTCAAGGGATAGTGTGGTCAATGAAAGGGTGGATCTGAAGCCAGCATTGTGGTACAGGCCAAAAGATCAAGCCCAATGTGTAGGTCTGTGAATTTTACAAGCCACTAAAACCATAACAGGCTCATCTGCATTAACAAGCTTCTTTGAGAATGCAAATATCAACGTATTGTTAACTCTTTAAATATTTTACTCTGTGGATTTCTTATATCACTAGTTCTTCTCTGAATGTTTATTTCATTTTTTAAAAAGAGTAGTCTATGAATATTTTAATAAAATTTGAACAATATTAAAAAAAAATTCAAGCCCAGCCTGGGCAATTTAGCAACTTAGCAAGGCCCTATTTCAAAATATAAAAATTGTAGAAAGGGCTGAAATGTAGCTCAGTTGAAAGCCCTCAGTTCAATCCCTGTATGTGTATGCAGAGGTGGGAATGGACCTGGAAGCTTTGGGAGCTATGAGGCTACTGTAATTTAAATTAAATTCTAGAAGAGCCAGATGTGATAGTGCATGCCTGAAATCCAGGCACTCTGGGAGGCTGACGCAGGGGGATCGAAAATTCAAGCCCAGCCTGGGCAATTTAGTGACTTAGCAAGACCCTGTTTCAAAATAAAAATTTTTAAAAGGCTAGAGCTGTAGGTCAGTGAGAAGGTCCTAGGTTCAATCTCCAGTCAAAAATAAAAAAGAATCTAAAGGACCCTGAGAGTCCTTCTAATGCTCAGCAGGCCTGGAAAGTCCAAATTTAATAGTCGAGCACCTGGCCAGCTGGGGAGCAAGTCACTTCTCCAGAGGGAACATTCGGGTTTTAGCCTCCATGTGCCATTGTGGGCAGGTGGGGAATGGCCCACACGGTGGAACAGGTGCACCCGTGCATGTGTGAAGTGGTCTCGGGCCGGGTGCACGCATGTGAAGTCCCCCGTGTCTGTGTGCAGTGCTGTGCATATGGTTCAGCTCTTACTGAGTTGAGAGACCTGATTCCGGTTTGGTGGCTTTGAAGGAGTCCCTCAGACTTTCCCTAACCTGAGTTTCCTCCCTTTTTCAGTTAGTAAGTTGTAGTGGCTGAGTCCTGAGGTCTCTTCCAGCCCTGCCATGCCCAGTTCCCAGCTTGAGCCCGGGGACTTCTACTAGTTGTACTTCTAATTTGGTTTCTGTGTCTTTTCTTTCCTGTGGGCCACTCCTCATGTCAGTTTTTGTACCTGAGTTGTCACTCACTGAGGAGCTGGAATTTGGCTTTTTTGAAATAGTGTTACTCACTGAAAATGCAGGAAGCTTGAGCAAAAAAAGCTTCACTCAAAAAAAAAAAAAAACACAGCAAGAAACCACAGGGCCTATCTGCCTGTCGTCATCAAGCAGACTAGAATAGTGCAGAAAACCCTAGGCAGAGAGGAAATGAACTTGAGAGAAGGGGGAACGCAGGCAGAGAAGAGAGAAGAGAGAAGGAGGGCTGGAGCCACAGCAGGAGAGAGCTGGAGGCCAAGCGGCGATGGTCAGAATGGAGGAGCTGGCTGTGAAGCGGGGCTTTCTCCATCTCCAGCAGCAGCAGACTTTTGGCAAGGTGAGAGTGAGGCTGGGATGGAGCCCCTTCAGGAGCTGCTCGTAATTCCCAGGGTGGAGGGCGTGTGGTGGCCCAACCCTTGTGGGGCCATGCTGTCCACCAAGTAAGACAAGAGGCCAGTGTTGGGTGGGCTCCTTTCTTACTGATGCTTGTGTCCCAAGCCAGGCCTCAAAGCAGTCTCCAAATTGTGCTCTTTGCTGAGAGCTGTTTGTCTTCGGGTGGGGGAGGGAGAGGAAGGAGGGTGCTGACTTGATCCCTCGCTCTGTGTTGACTTCCGAGGGGACAACGTGGAAGGGAATGGAGGGAAGAGTTGGGGGGATAAAGGAGGTTTCTCCCCACGTCACACCCTGGTGGGGAAAGTTTAGCTGGGGCTAAGCTGGGGCCCCAGAATGTTCCACCTCCTTTTTCCCTGGCCTCTCTGAAAGAGGAAGTCCTCTTCCCTCACTGGTCCACACCCAGGCAGCCCCCCACTCCCTGCTCATAGCTCAATCTGTCAAGCAGTGAAGCGGAAGGGCTCAGGAGGGTGGAGGGAAGATCCTGGGGCCGGTCCCTCTGACCTTTCCAGAGTGAGGATGATATCTCTGGTCCCGGCAGTTCTCTTCATTCCTTCTCTGCCCTGCACCTGCCCCGCTGAGCATCCCGCTTGTCTCCTGCAGTCTGCATCCTCCTGGAGCGTCACTGTACTTCTCAGTGCCCTGGGCAATCTCTGCTGGCCTTGCAGGCCTCCTCCTTGGGTGCGCCAGGCTCATCTCCAGCTTTCTAATTCCTATGGTCCCTGTATCAGCTCTGCCCCCTGCAATCCTGGAGTCATTACCTCTCTCTCCCCATCCTTTATGTTGCCACCCCAGTCCCTCTCTGATGACCCCTTTTCTCCCCTTTGGTTACCGTCTCTCCATCTCTGGGTGGACCCCTCTTGGCTCCCTCCTCCCACACCTGGCTCAGAAGTGGCGCCGGTTCTCGGCTGTGCTGTATGGAGAGTCAGGCTGCGCCCTGGCCCGGCTGGAGCTCCATGAGGGCCCAGAGAAGTTGCGACGAGGAGAGGCTGCCCGGAAGGTCATCTGCCTCAGTGACTGCCGGCGGGTGGCTGAGGCAGGTGGGGAGGCCAGCAGTCCCCGGGACACCAGTGCCTTTGTCATGGAGACCAAGGAGCGCCTGTACCTGCTGGCAGCACCCAGTGCAGAGCGAGATGACTGGATGCAGGCCATCTGCCTCTTGGCCTTCCCTGTGAGTTACCCTGGGGTGCAGCATGCAGGGGGAGGAGTGTTAGGTACTTCCTGTGGGGACGTGGTGGAAGAGTCAAGGTCAGGATGCCAGGGCGCTTCCTTAGTGGGGGAGACCCCAATCCAGAGAGCGGACAGAGCCAACAGGCTGCACATATCCCCAAGAGAAGCTGGGGGCAGAGGGGGCCTTGTGATGGGTGCTGATGGTGAGACCTGGACCTCCTCCCTAGGGGCAGAGGAAGGAGTCCTTGGGGCCGGAGGAGAAGGGTGGCTGGCCCCGCATGGAGGAGAATGAACTGTACAGCGGTTCGGGCACAGGTGAGGGGCGGGGCTGTGGGTGCTGTGCGGGTGGGAGGAGGTGTGGGGCTGCCCACCGAGTCTTCCTGCTTTGTGGCTGTCCCTTGCTGGCCGGCCCCTTATCAGCCTCTCCTGCTGGTTTCCGGGCGCAGCCCAAGGTGTGGGGGCACTGCCGTAAGCATCACCCTTGGCTCACCCTGTCTTGCTGGGCCCTGCTGGTAGGAGAGGGCAAGGCTCAGGGCCCCGGTGAGGCCCTGCTCTCGAACTCTCTCTGTCTGGGACCTGAGCTGTTGTCTGAAAAGACAACAAGTGCTTTCTCTGTGGCTGTGGCTGTGCAAGGTGTCGGCCACACCTGTGGCTGATAGGCAACCCCTGCCTGAGCTCCCTCTGTGCCCTGTGGGCTGGGGGCACCGGGAGCCCCTGTCCCCTGTCTTCTCTCTGAGCCCCACCACAGGGAGCACCATGTGAGGGTGAGGTCAGGCTTCACCTACAGCTGTGGCATTGAGGGCATTAGGGTGGAGCAGCTGGTTCGGGGTGAGAGAAGGGGTGAAGACCAGGCTGTGGCTCTGGCAACAGTCGCAGGAAGGATGTGGGCCGGAGATTGGGGCAGTGTGGCTGAGGGGATGGTGCCTTCTAGGGTAGAGGCACTTGGCATTTGGGGGAGTAACCTGGCCTGCCAGATCCAGGCGGGGGTCACAGCTATGTGGATGATGGTTTTCTAAATACCTTGGAGCCTGCTGAGGTAGAACAGCCAGGAGGAGGGAGGGAGCTGCTTCCCATTAGCTCCCTTCTTCTCTGCCTTCTCCTCCCCAGGGGTCCCCTGCAAGGAATTTGTTGTGACCATGAGACCCACAGAAGCCAGTGAGCGGTGCCAGCTCCGGGGAATCTATACTCTCCGGGCCGGGGTGAGCACCCTGGAGCTGTGGGATGGCCCTGAGCCAGGCACCCAGCTGTATGACTGGCCCTACAGGTTTCTGCGGCGCTTTGGGCGAGACAAGGTGAGTGCGGGTCTGTACCCGGGCAGGTTGTGAGAAAGGATGACCCCAGCCAGCGGGGCGGGTGTGGCGGCACAGGCCTGTGATACCAGCTACTCAGAGTGCTGAGGTGGGAGGACTGTGCCCAGCCTGGGCAACCTAGTGAGACCCTGTCTCAGAATAAAATACTTTGCAAAGGGCTGGGGATGCAGATCTGCAGTAGAGCACTTGCCTAGCATAGAGGAGGTACACAAAGAAGAAGGAGCGAGTCAAGAAAGCAGGTGGTCGGGGAGCAGCAGTGGGGTGTGACAGGAAGAGAGAGGGGCCAGAGCAGGAAGAAAAGGCAGAGAAAGGAAGAAGCAGAGCTGCTGGAGAGAGGGCCAGGGAGGGAGCAGGAGTGAAAGCCACAAAGAAGCACTTGGGTGAGATGGGAGTGGAGCAGGAAGAATGAGAGGTGGGCAGAAGTGGGAGGGTGAAAGTGGCTGATGTTTCAGAGGAGAAGCTGTATGCCCAGCTCCGTGTGTGGATGGCAGGGAGGGAGATGAAGGCAGAGGAGAGGCGAAACGTGGCTAAGAGAGCTCGGGGGACACTCAGACAGTTCCTGGTGGAGGCCAGGTGGGCCCTGGGGCCTGCCAGTAAACCCTAGCTCCCCGCGCTCCAGGTGACCTTCTCCTTCGAGGCCGGCCGGCGCTGTGTCTCTGGAGAGGGCAACTTTGAGTTCGAGACCCGCCAAGGCAACGAGATCTTCCTGGCCCTGGAAGAGGCCATCGCTGCCCAGAAGAATGCTGCCTCGCCTGGGCCCCCACTTGTGCCAGCCACAGTGCCTGCAGTGCCCACCATGCTGCCCCGGCCCGAGAGCCCCTACTCCCAGCCCCATGACTCACTCCCACCACAGCTGTCGCCCAGCGCCCGGACACAGCCTGGCACTCGGCCCCCTGAGGGCGAGTACGCTGTGCCCTTTGATGCTGTGGCCCGCGCGCTGAGCAAAAGGCTACCAGGCATCCTGGCAGGCCCTTCCCCGCTCCCGGCAGACCCTTTGTATGATAGCATCGAGGACCCCAGGCCCCCTGTGCCCGACCACATATATGATGAGCCTGAGGGCGTGGCCACCCTGTCCCTGTATGACACCCCACAGGAGTCCCGGGGGCAGGCATGGAGGAGGAAGGCCACAGCAGATGGGGCCCCTGGTGCCCCCCAGAAGGACTTCTCTGTATCTTGCTGGCCACACGGGACTGAGTACGACAATGTTGTACTTAAGAAAGGCCCAAAATGAAGGCGTGTTGAGGAGAGGGGGCCACGTTGAAGTGTACCCCGGGAGGGAGTCAGAAGCCAGGGAGAAGGCAGGTGGGGAAGGCGTGCCTCCTCTTGCAACTTCTGCTGGGGAGTCCTCTGGCCGCTGCCAGGGACCCCTCCCTTTGCCTGTTGCGGAGCCCCAGGCTTCTGGGCTTAATGGACTGTCCCTCCCAGAGCCCTCTGGGTGAGTCACCAGCCCAGAGCAGAAGGAGACCCATGAAGAGACCCATGCTCCTCCTACTCCTTTTCTACTTCCTCCTCTCTTTCCTGGCCCTAAAGGGAGCCCAGTCATTTAGGGCAGAAGACAAAAACACGTCCACAAGTCACCCTGGTTGATGTCCCCTTCTGGGGACAGCCCTGGTCTCGGGGCCTGGGAGGATGGCTGCAGCTTTCTGCAGGTCTCAGATTGTGTGGCATTAAAGTATTTCTGAAGTATTTCTGTGTGTCCTCAGTGCTGTGGGGTGGGATTGAGGTAGGGCAGAAGGAATAAATATAGGTGGAAAGGAAGCAGACCAGGAAAGTTGTAATTGTTTTTTTTTTGGTACCGGGGATTGAACTCGGGATCTTGCGCTTGTGAGGCAGGCACTGGAACCACTGAGCTAAATCCTTGGCCCTGGAAAGTTGTAATTTTAAAACTGTACTTTTTTCTTTTGGTACCGGGGATCGAACTCAGGTTCTTGCACTTGCGCGGCAAGTGGTGAAACCACTGAGCTAAATCCCCAGCCCTAAAATTGTACTTTTGAAAAGACTGCAACTTCAGGACACAAAGTTGGTTGTCCATATCTGTACTCCAGGGCCTTACTGCCTAGGCTTGTTTGCTTTTTACTTCCAGGCCCAGCCAAATCCCCTAAAGGTACTGAAGTCTATACATTGTATTAGTAAAATAAAGGGCACAAACCTGACCTTAAGAGAGAGAAACGGATTCAAGCGTCTCAAAGACCTCGGCAAACCGAAGGACCCGAGTTCCATCCTGGGTACCAAAACCAAAACCAAAACCAAAAACAAGGGTCTCAAAGAATATTTTTAGGTAAAACATCTTAGATTACCCATGCCTTTCTCCTGTAAAATGGGGCTTTCACCTGTAAATTGAGTGAATTCTTTCTATGGATTCACAAATTCCCCAGTTTCCACCCCCCAAAACAACATAAATCTTTTCAGCTCCAGACCATAACGCTCCTCTCCAGGGCACACTGTGAATGTACTTCTTTAATCTCCCCCTCGCCCCCCTGCAGTACTGGGAATTGAACTCGGGGTGGTTTGCACTAAGCTACATCCACAGCCCTTTAAAAAAAATTTTTTTTTTTAAAGACAGGTCTTTAAGTCCCTAAATTGTCTAGGCTGAGCTCAAATTTGCAATTCTCCTGCTTTGACCTCCCACAGTGCTGGGATTACAGGCATTGGCCACCACACTGGCTAAGTGTGTCAGCCTAATAAAACCTCTCCGTGCCTCTCACTAATGCATCCTGGCATTGGGCTGAACTGAGGTCTGGGGAACTCTGGGAACCCTAATGCCCCAGCTGATCAGTGCTTGGCATCTCCTGCCCAGCTGCAAGGTCCTTCTTGGGCCTAGCACTGTGAGGTGGCCCTGTGGGGCCCTGGAGCATCTGTCCACAGAGTCAGAAGCCTGTGGAGGTTGTCAGGGCGCCCTAGGAAAGACATCTGTCTTAGTCCGTTTACTATTGCTATAACTGAGTGCCACAGGCTGAGTAGTTTATAAATAAAACAGATTGATTTAGCTCCTGGTTCTGGAGGCTGGGGAGTCCAAGTGGGTGGTGCTAGAAACTGCTCAGCACGTGGTGAGCGGCTTTTTAAAAAACAAGGTTTTGTTATGTAGTTCAGGCTGGCCTTGAACTCACTAAAAGGTCCAGGCTAAACTCCTGGGGATCCTCCCGCCTCAAGCCTCGCTAGAGCTGGGATTACAGGCGTGTGCCACCACACCTGGCTGAGGGTCTTCTTGAATAATAACATTGTTATAGATGGCTAAATTAGGTAAAATATTGTAGGCACACAGATAGGGCTGGGGCGTAAGAGAGTCAATGCAGAAGATAAGAACATATTACAGCTGTGGCTGGAGAAGGTCTTCTAATGACTACAACCACATACTTCTCATACAGATGAACAGCAGTGATTGGTACTTTAGAGGCATCAATCACCTTGAGTGGGGGACCAAAACTTCCCTCGCCCCATTCCTTCCCGGAAGGTCCTTGTTTGGTCCATGTACGTGACTTGCTTCTCCATTTGATCCCAATTTAATCAATATTACCCAAGTGACTGTACTCTTAATCTTACTGATTGACCATAGTTTTGTCCCACCTCATACCCACCTTGTGATTTTCCATTGGTTCAATAATGCCTAAGCGACTATACTCGTAATCTTATTGGTTGACTATAGTTTTGTCCCACCTTACATCCACTGCCCCTCTTGGTTTTGCTCTATAAAACTTCCTTGAGAAGTGGGGTCTGAGAGCAACCCACTTTCTGGGTGTCCCCTTCTGTCCCTCTTAGGTAGAAGCTGTACCTCTCCCTCTCAATAAATATTTCTACTCTTAACCTCTGTTGTTCCTAGAATTCATTCTTTGATTTAGAGAACAGGAATTCAGTGGATTGGACGTCTAATAGCTTGAGAGTTACAATATTTCCCTCATATTATTTGGAGGTCCTATACCATCCCTGTTATCATACACCCTATTTCGACATGACTGAGGCTATCACACCATGAGACAAAGATAGCAACTTGTCAGCAAGCAAAGCCCCTCCCCAGATTACCTATCACTATGAGGGGCTTGGTCCATTCAGGAAGGCAGAGTCCCCAGCCTCAGTCACTCCTCAGAAGCCTCACTGCCGAATGCCATTAACGCTCAAATTTGTGGATGAAGTTTGCAAGACGTGAACATTAAACTGAACTAGGTTAGAAAACATAAAGATCACAAAGAGAATCATAACTAAAAATTATACTTTCATTTTTAATTATTTTTTAAATTAATTAAGTTTATTGGTACATTTTAGGTATACATAATGATAACATTCATCATAGGGAATTCGTAGCTGTATATAATACATCTCAATTCTTATTTTTTCCCATTCCCCTACCCTCCCTTCAACCCCTATTCTTCTTATTTACAAAATCTTCGTTTCCATTTTTTCCTTATTTTTTTTCTTTCCTTTCCTTTCTTTTCCCCACCCCCCTCCCTAGTTCCCTTATTCATTTGAACAAAAAATTGTACTTTTAAAAAGACTGCTCATGCCAGGTGTGGTGGCACATGCCTCCTGAGTGCTGTGATTATAGGCGTGCATCTGACACGAATTTGAGGCCAGCCTGGGCTACGTAGTCAGTTCAAGGCCAGCCTGAACGACATAATGAGACCCTATCTCAAAACCAAATCAAACCAAACCAAACCAGAGTGAGGATCCTGGGTTCAATCCCCAGTAGAAAGAACAATGTACAGAGACAGGTAGCTCCCGAACAGAGTGGGATTTTACTGGCTGTGGACCCCAAAGAAGTTTCCAAAAGGACTCAAGATTTGAAGGAAGCTGAACTCAGTTCCTGACAGGCTGAGGCTAAGATTCTGCAATATTTCTTGCCCAGCCAGAGCAGGCCCAGAGCTAACAAGGGCTCTAGAGCTGAGGAGGGAATGGAGAGCAGACACTTGGATTCACATGGGCCCTCACCTGAGTTGGCCGGAGTTGGAGGACTCTTTTGGAGCTGGGCACTGCAGTAAGTGGGTGAGGCGGCTTCCCGCCCCTTTCCTCTGTGCCCAAGGTCCACAGCCAATCCCAACCTTAGGATTCTGGAGGCAGGAAGGCCCCAGGCCTGGCTTTTCCCCTTCTCAGGGAGGGATGGGAGCTGGGGCGAGGAGGGTACCTTAGGCAAAGGAAGCCACATTTCCGATTTCCTCAGGTGGCACCTGAGGTGGCCATGCCGGCTCAGCCCAGCAGGGGGCAGTGTCAGCCTGTGGAAAAGGCCACCAAGGGCTTAGTGGCATCCGGCTTGGCTGGGGCCCTGGCCCTGAAGCAAGAACGAAGGGTGACAGTTTGAGGAACCTGCATCTATAGCTGGTCCCTTCAGACCCTTGAATCCCATTCTGGGAGAGCAAACCTGCCACCCAGAGGTGAGGGGTCCCAGACTGAACTCTGCCCCTCTCGGCCCCTCCTTACTTTGTCTCTGTATTTGTTGTTGTTGTTGTTAAATTCTTTTATTGGTACATTGTAGGTATAAAACACAATTACATTTCTCATTGGGAATTGTACCTTTACATAATGCATCTTGGTTCTTATTTTTTCCCCATTCCTAGCCCTCCCTTCACGCCCTCCACCCTTCCCTATTTACAAAGACTTTGTTTCCATTTTTTCAATTTCTTAGCATTTTTCTTTTTCCTTCTTTCCTTTCCCCTGCCCCTCCCACTACCCCTACCCCTTTGGACCTTTTCTTCCTATTTTACATTATCGGTTATTCATTCTAATCATGGGTACATTTTAGGTATACAATATAATGACATTCATCATTGGAAATTTGCACCTTTACATAGTCTCTCTTGGTTCTTATTTTGCACCCTTGCCCAGCCCTCCCTTCAACCCCTCCAGTCCTCCCTATTTACAAAGATTTTGTTCCTATTTTTCCATTTTCTCATATTAATCCCATTCCCTTCTATCCTTTCCCCTAGCCCTCCCACTTCCTTCCCCTTTGCCCCTTTTCTTCCTATTTCACATGACCTATTATACATTTTAGTCCTTATTTACACTTTCAGTTTCTCACACCAGAGAAACTATTCAGTATTTACACATGTGTGTCCTATTTATTTCACTTAAGAGTATTGCCTCAATGTGCATCCACTTAGCTATAAATGTCTCTAATTTCTCATTGTTTATGGCTGAGTAGTACTCCATTTTATAAAAAAACCCACATTTTCTTTATCCAGTCTCCAGTTGATGGGCGTTTGGGCTGTTTCCAAGTTTTAGCTATCACAAACTGTGCTGCTATGAACATGGGTGCACATATATCACTGTGGTATGATTCTTTTAATTCTTTGGGGAAGATCCCCAGCAGTGGAATAGCGGGGTCAAATGAAAAATAAAGGGTTTTTTTGGTTTTTTGGGGGGTACTGGGGATTGAACTCGAGTCCTTCCACTTGTGAGGCAGGAGGCGGAACCACTGAGCTAAATCTCCAGCCCTAAAATATTCGCCGTGGTTATCTTTTTTTTTTGTGCCAGGGATTGAACTTGGGTCCTTGGGCTTGCAGAGCAGGCAGCGAAACCACTGAACTAAATCCCCGGGGGCCGCCTCCTTACTTTGAAGCTCCAGGGACTTTTGGCTCTTCCTGAGCCTGGCGGGGCCTCACAAGACGAAGTGGTAGATGGCTCGGGAAAGATGGCGGCAGGGGAAGTAGCTTTTGGGGAAGTAGCTTTTGGGGAAGTTGGGAGGGGTCACAAAAGTATTA